TTTATTATATTGTCATAACCTCTAAATCTCTCCTTGCTAGCTCCACATCCCAGCTATTTCTTTTGTGGCATTTCTTTTCTTTTTCTTTTATTTGCCAAGCCTTATATACTTTTATGAATTAAAATTAATGTATGGTTTAAACTAAATGGATATCAGTCTATGCTTTTCTACAAGTAATCAGAGATATTTTAAGACCCTGGACCTTGAATAAATTAGCATATAAATTAGGTATTAATCCCTGTAAAGACTTGTTCTATTAAGATTGCAGCTTCTAAATTGGACTTTGACATGTTGCTTAAGAAATTGCTTGAGGACTATTTTACTGAACAGATATCAACCACACTGCTTTGGACATAGGTAATATTGACATAAGAAAAGAGAATATATACATTTATTAATTTATGGTTGATTAATTGGGGAGAGAAAATGTAAAGTGTGTGTGTTTGTGTGTGCAGGTTAAGGCTGAGTTGTTTATCAGAACTTCTTCAGATTGCAGAACAAATATCATCCTAAGAATGAGATTATAATCCCAGACACTCTTGTAAACTCTGTTATCATAGACTCCACCCACTCTGAGACCTCCAGGTTGGAGACATGATCCTGCTTGAAATTTCTCCAGTTTGATGCATCTTTGGTGCAAAGTTCAGGACTCACTTCCATTTAGGAGAGAAGGATAACTCTGAAGACTTTCAGTTTTATGAAGATATGAATGTTGTATTGACCGAGCACTCTAGTTCTCAGTTGCCTCAGCACCTGGCTGGTCTTGCTGATTCTCAGGTCAATGTTTTTGTCCCAAAAGTCCTCATTTCCCAAGTATTTGAAGTTGTCTAATTTGTCAGCATCAGTGAATTATCATTCTATGGGCTTGTTACATGGCATGGGCTGGTGAAGTACTTTAGTCTCATTCAGGATGATAGTCGGGTTGAAGAGCACAAGAGCATCTGAAAATCGTTTCATTATCAACTATAGATCACTGTCTTTGTGTACCAGGAGTGAACAATCATCAGCAAAAAAAGGTTTCTTGAAAGTTTGTACGGAATTCAAGCAGCGAACGTCAATGAAAGAGACCCAATTCTGTCCTTCAGACCCTGCAGAGCATATAACAATAGACAAATGAAGAATATTCAAATGGCAAATTCAGCTGATGTATCACCATTGTAAGACACCTATCCTGCACTTCCAATGGGCAGTGTAACTGCTTAAACTAATTGTCTTGAAAGAACAGTCCTTATACATCCTTCTTGAGGATTTTTTCCTATTAATTAAAATAACAATTTGATAACAAAATTGTTCCGCACAGAGAATAAAGAGCAGAACAACATTTGTCACGATTAGCCTGCCAGAAACTTGCATAATGGAATACTAATGAGATCAGCTGAACTGGTAAATGTTAAAGGAAAATATTAGAAAGAAGCATTTAGGAATGTTATTCTGTGGTCTGTATAATTGCAACACAACTGTGAACCCTGGATTATTGATCTTTGCAGGTTATACAACCTGCCTCCCTCCCTCCCTCCCGTTCCCTTCCCAAAAGGAGTACTGATTTCAAATCGGCTATACTCAAATTTTTACAATTGTATAGAATATTTGGCTATCCCTGGATTTTAACAGTCATCTTGAAATTTAAAGGACAGGCAATGCAACTTTCAGGTCTTTCATCTTTCTGTTGCTGATTTATGTCTGATTTCCCTATGTGGTTTATATTTGAAAGAGTAATCAGTTCTGAGCTGCATCACCATAAATGACAGTCAGTAGCTAAGTGACAATCAGTTGTTGCTACCAAGGACCTATGTGGCTCCAGGCCTTTGTATGTTTGAGAACTACAATTATAGTTTATCTAGGTCAATGAATACTTTGTTTGCTAATTGTTTTGAGGTCATTCCAATTAAAAACAATGAAAGATGATCACTATTTCATTTCAAATATTATCAGATTTTTTTTTCTCTATGCATTTATTAATACATAGTAGCACTATCAATGGAAAATATATAACTCCAGTGCTATTTTCTTTTATGAAGGGAAATACATTGTCTTACCAAGGAACTGGATTCATCCATTCAGAGTATTATTAAATATGATCTTGACTGGATTGTAACCTGTTATTTTAAAAAAGTGAGAGAACTGATACTTTGATTATGCCAGTTAAGCTGTGTGCATATTGAACTTATATGGCAGGAATTTTAATATGAGGCTGAATGAATAAAACTATATAACAATGACAGATTGACAAGATGGAGTGTATTAAAATGGAGGATTGAGGTTATTATTCTTATGCCACCTAGTTGAAGCAACTATATGAACAATTCATCAAAAACCATACAAATATAAATAAATATGGCCAGCCAATCATAAAGAACTCCCACATTCAAAAGCACTGTCTCGATTGCCTTACAAAAGACTAGTAGCAAGGAGAAGGTATACTATAGCAGTGGGCCCTGTAGAAGGACTGTCTCTGGGCCTATGTCCCCTTGACACCTCATAGGTAAAGTACTGTAATAAGCATTTACTCCTTATATGGTAACACAGACTGGGCAAATTCTACCCGGAGGAAGCACTCCAAGCATGTTTGATTGGACTTGGAAGCCTATTGGACACAACCCCTTAGAACTAGTAGTCCACTCAAGCTGTCAAAACACTTGCTAGCTAAAAATATATGCCGCATTCACATAAGGATTAGCAATTTATGAGCTTCTGGAATGGGAGACTTTTTCATCTTCTACAATAAAAACAGAAAAGGCTTATAAAAACTTAAAGTCCAACATTATCATATATGGAAGTTTATATGGTGAAAAATGTATTAGTCTCTGAGGTGATGAGACCCAGTTTAATGTAGTAGTTAAAGGCATTAGGTAGAAACTGAGAGATTATGTGCTGGGTGATTTTGGGCCAGTAACATTCTCTCAGCCATAGGAAGAAGCTAATGGCAAACCTCCTTTGATAATGTTGCCAAGATAATTGCATGATGGTGGAGTTGTTCCTAGCACAGCCCACTACAACTTATATCTTTTTCTACTAGGTTTCCTAGTAGGTTTTCTACTAGATTTTATTAAATGCTCCAATGAAGAGTATTATGTCTACCACATTCCTTGGTTAACTAAATTGATAATTTTTCAAAAAAGGAAACCAGTTGGCTTTGGCATGTCCTGACAAGTAATACTTTCTCCCTGCTTGATTGCAAACCCAGTCACTTAATAATTCATTCCAAAGTTTTGCATAAAACAATGCATAATCATATTGTAACTTTACAGTTGTGTATTACTGGTGGAGAGAAGATACAAGTGACATGTAGGAAAGTGTAGGAACAGGAATCAATAGAAATAAAGCTTAAATTTGTAATTACTGTATATAACATTATCATCAGCACTCATATCAGGGAGAAAAGAAAGGCAATTCCACTTAGGAATTAGTTCAATTTATTCTTTGATAAGAAGATACATGTTGAACCCTAAATTAACTTTTGTAGTCTGAGTTAACAAGGATGGTCCATATCTCAAAATTCTGCCCTCTGCTGGATGGAATCAAAATAGAAATGTTAAATTATATTAGGAATATTTGTGCTTGGGAGCTGAGAGCTGTCTGCTCTAAGCAAGAGAGGTTCATGATCTATTTTGTTCTAGTCAAGAAGATGTAACATATGAAAGGAGAGACAGCTCAGTTAATATTAAACATCTTTTGGTATAGTTGATGCAACAATAGTTACTGTGGGTGACCCGGCCAGCCATATAAATTTATTTAATATATAAATCAAACTGAAAAACTAACCAAAAAAATGCTCCATATTTGAGGCTCCATGCAAGAGATCCAGAGAATCCCTAGACATCAATGTTGTAAATCTACTTGATGACTGTCACCACTGGCCTGGTCCTTACCTTGTAATAATCTGGTAGCCCTGTATTATCAAAGACATGGGGGAGATTGAGATTTTCAATGGCAAATAGGTCAGCCTTCCCTCATGCTGGTGCTACCAGGTGAATCAAGCAATAGCTCTGCTGGCCTAAGAATTCAGGGACCTGAGGTCTATACGTTTGCAAGGCATCCTCTTTGGAAAAAGCTGCATCAGACCTAAAGAGCATCTAGTAGTCTATATGGAATGGTAAAGGGGTGTTCTCTTCATCAGTTTTGCCAATACTTTATTATTACATGAAGGAATCATAGACTGCTTTGTTAATGGTATCAGATCACATAATTTGCTATTATGTAATACACTCTGGCCTTTGAACTGGTTTTTAAAGAGCACTCTTTGCATTCTTTGATGCAAGACTGAGATGCTGATTTTCCTCTGAAGTCTCAGCATTTCCCGACTTCACTGTCCCCCTATTTCCCTTCCCCTCCAAGAATGGGTATATCTCTCAGGTTAATGTCTGTAGAGATTCTCAGTCATCCAGGTCATGACTGAGGGCACCTCAGGTTAATGTTCCGTGTATTTCCTGAAGTCAACTGTGATCCACAGCTTTGCTCTTTTGGATGCCACAAGCCTTTCACGCTATATACTAGCGAACATTGGTTTGATTTGATCAACAGGCCAAGCTACAAAGTAGCTGCGGGGTTCGCTGCAGTGTCAAAATGTGTCTTGATCGCAAGACTGTAAGACTGTTACCCGTCCGGAAACCGGTTGGGAAGTTATGCGTAAGACTACCGGACCACGTCGAAATTCCATTCAGTTGGAATTCGGTTCAAATCGCAGGAACTTCCAAAAGCGCTTTTCGCCCTCGATTTGATTCCGTCGGTTTGCCGAGTCATTATTTAGTTTCTACTGGCGAGTTTTTGCTTTTCGCCTAATCGCCACTTAAAAAAAAAAAAACAACCAGCCGAATTCCCTGCCGCTCGAGCCTCCTCGAGACCGGCGTCCTTCGACGTGACTCCCGCCGACCCGGCGTTCCATGAAAGCCTGGCGTTCCTAACTGGGTCGTTCCGCGCTTCGTTAGGCGCTGCTTCGACTCCTAACCGGTCCCTTGAATCAGAGATGGCCAAGGGGGAGACAAAACTTCGGACTTTCTTTCAAAGCGCCCTTGAACTGCGCTTCACGTCAGGCCAATGCCAAAGACCCGCCCGCTGGCCGGCTGGGGATGGCAGGGGGCGGGAGGTTCTCCGGGGGTCCAGCCTCCTCCCTCGCTCAGAAATTGGAAGGCTCCGGAGTCGTGGCTCACATTTCCACTAATCTTCCTCAGGAGACGGGGTTTGAGCGCGTGCCTCCGGAGCGAAGCAAGGAAGCCCCGCCGAGCAAGGGGGAAAGCGGCGGGCGGCCTCGGGCGGCGGACCAAAGCTTCTCCTCACGAGGTCAGAGAAGCTCCCCGTCGGGGCCTTTCCGTTCGGCAGCCGGGCGAGTCCGCGAAGCTCCCCGGACGCGCGTTTTATGGCGCTAGGACCCAGGCAGAGCGGAGCGAGTTCCGAATGAGGCTGCGGCGGCCGTGTGAAAGTGAATGGCTGGGGTGCGTCGGGAAAGTGGCCACGGAGCAAGGCGCCTCAGGATTCCCGGCGGGCTGGGCAACGGCGCGTCCGGCGGCAACAGCAGCCCCTAGGGGGTCTCTCTCCACCTGCCCGCGGCCGCAGCGCTGAGGTAAGTGGAGCCCGCCGGCGTTGCGAGGGAGAAAGTCCGGGGACCGGGCGCCTTGGCGGGAGTAGCGGACTCCGGGATTTCTTTCCTTAGGCTCCAGGGCTGAAAAACCTTCGCGGTCGCGCTGTAGTGAGGCACCAGCCAACTTCAAGCGGCCAGTTCTGTTGGCTGCTGCCACTGATTAGACCCAACGTTTTGGTGGAAGATCTTGTGTCTGCCGGCGGGGAAGTCCGTCTCCCTGTAACATCTCCAGGAAGACATCTGGACGTGGACTCGGATAAGCAGCTCTGGCCCTTTAGGGGCTTTACCTTTGTTTTCAATGGGAGCGAGCTCTGCCCCCCCCCCCCCCCCCCCCCCCCAGGCCTTTCTACTTTTTAATCACCCGACAGACACTAGTCGGGTTGCATTTCTACAGTCAGGTTCTCCCGCCCCCGCCTCAAAACTCTCTGCTTCTCTGCCTAGCGAAAGGATGGAAAGTGAGGGCGCTGCTCGCTGTTTCTTTTTTGATGATCAAGCTGTATTTTTAGAAGAGAAACGCCAGACAGGGAGGAAAGAGGTGCGATCAATTGAGAGAAGTTTCTCTGTTTCTGTAGCCTGTCGGAAGTTTATGGTTTTTTTTCCCTCCCAAAGGATGTATCAAATGAAGGACAAGAACATCCACTGGAAAAGAGGAAAGCCATCATATGAAGGTCTGTAGGAGATCACTGGGAGCTGAGCATGGCTATTGACAATAATAGGGATCCACTGAAATTATGCCAGAGGATGGAAAGGCCACAGGGTGGAGTAGAAATGAAACAATACTATTTCTGGTGCCCTTTCAGGGTAAATTTTGATGCTGAAAGTAGCTTAGAAGTTTCACAAATAACATGCCTTAACTAAACTTGGGGGGCGGGGGTGGGTGGGGGGAGGTTGATCATAAACCTTATAGCTGTTTCCTAGTGTTGGTCATCATCAGTCTGCAATATCAGCATTTTTGTCAATCAGTGAACAAATTAATATAAAGCACACATGCGTGCAATATTGTGAATAAGAAAAGATTACAAATTTTGCAACCATTTTAAAACCAACAATAAGAAAAGCAGTATAAATTATTGCTGTTCCTAGCTGTGACCCATTCCATGGCATCTGAAGATCCACTTTGCTTTACTTTTACTGTAACTAACTTGTGGCTTATGTTGACTAAATCTTGGTTATGTCAGTAGCTATTCTCATTTCCTATTATTCCCTATGGATTTTTGGATTTTTAAAAAAATGTATCCAGTGGACATCCTGTTTCCCTGTCCAGTCTGAAATATGCACAGATAATTTATAAATAGTTGCTTGCCAGCCTGATTTTCCAAACTTACTGCTTGGAAAGTTGAAAACTATATTAGTTAAACTAATCATGTAGTCTAATATCTTAGTCCAGCTGAGCACATAACTACCCTTGAACTTTTGGTTATTAAAATGTGCTTTTTTGTGAGAACTTCACTTTTGTGGATAACTTACAGTTGCCTTGTTATTACGATGCTTTTAGCGTAGGCATAACTAACTGATATATATTATAATAAACTTTTATGGATTTATGAAACTTTCTTATATACTTTGAATGACCATGAGAATCATGTCCTTAGGGTCCATAGAAATCTTGAAATAAAGCTTACAAGTCTTATTTCATTCTCATGACAGTGGGATAATAATGAGCAAATGGCAACTTACTTGGATCTGGTCTTAATGTTAGATGTCTAAATCATTGCTAAAAGATCTGGGGAACATCTGGAAACATTGTTGAGCAATACAATCCTTTTCAAAGGACTATAATAATTGTTCAAAACCTGAGAAATGCAGAGAACTTGCCCTAAAGGGACTGCATCAATTTTGGTGCTTCTACTGTTTTGTGCTTTCACCAAGTTATTATATGGCTACAAGTAGCAACTCTAATTTGAAAAGAAGTCATTAATTTTATTTGCTTTAATCTGTTAGACAGTGTAGCTTCTGTATGAATAGAAAATATATGATTACATTGTTGCTGAAATTAAACTCATATGTGGATCTGAATACATATTAGTACTATTGTTTAGATTTCACTTGCAATTAGGTATAAAGATTCATCTTCTGAGTCTAATGTACACTTTTATAAGTTCTAGAAAAGAGATGCATCTATTACAATTAAACCATTTAATTTTGTTGCCTTGTGGCCATATTGTAATCACTAAACATTTTTGCTTAGCAATCAAAAGCTAACATGCATAGAAAGAATGAAAAAGAGCCTTGATCATATAATGTTATCCCAATCTTGTGGAATATAACTCTCCCATATCATGTTTTCTTTAAAAAAAAAACACAACATAAAAATAATGTCCTTGTCTACTTTGTGGTTAAAGCAATGGTGACCTCTACTGGAAATCTCCACCTAATCCAGTATATGCCCTCTGATGAGTGTTTCTGAAACAATTCATGCTTAACAACTTCCATTTAAAGCAGACATCAAACAAATCAATCAAATTCTAAATTCCATTACAATTAATGCATTATATGCCTGCCAAAATGTACATGGAATCATGCTGCTAAAAAATTGAAACAAGCCAAAACTAGATTACCTCTGTTTTTGGTTTATGTATTACATTGTGGCTCATATTATATATAAGATCTAATTTTCAATTATATCTTCTACCAGGAACCCTTGTGATTCTTCACAATAAAGGAGTAACTGTAATAATAAGACAAAGTATCAGGAGGAAAACTCTTTCCATGTGAATATCTCATTTTTTAGAGAAAAATGTGTTATTTTTTATTATACATTAAAAATTGAAAATTGTGTTCTAGGATTAATTCACTGGTAGGAGCAGGGAGAATACCTATGCTTTTGTCAGGAGACCAAGGAAGTAGATATACAATGGTTCAGAAAATTAAAAGAAAATGAGATTTTTTTTCCCCCAAAACACCATATGACTGTCCATTAATGTTGCTTGCTTACTAAATGTATCTGTAATTTGGTTTTAATTTCCTGAACAAGTAAAACTTAATTAGAAATAGACAACATATAAGATTATTCATGATGGTCAATAGAAACAAGAAATAGCCAAATAGCATAAATTTTAGCAATATTAGTAAACTAGAGTTTAAGAAATAAACTCTGTTGATTCAATTATATTTTATCTGCCAAGAAAGAGCTGTTTGTTGGTTCAGAATAAAGAGTTACATCTGCTAAAAACTGCATGGAGCATAAGCAAGCTATTTGTTAATAGAATATAACCAAATTGTGCTGTGATACTTAATATTAAGCTAATATAAATACTCTAAAATTTGTTTAAGTCTGCCATTTCAGTCAATTTCAGTGCAGTGACTATTGTGTTGGATGGACCACTAGTTCATCTGTCTGATATTATCTTTCTGGCATCTCTTGTCTGTGTAACCAGGTGTCTTTTTGGCCCTCTGACAGTGGCATATGTGGCATTCAGTTGGAACCAAAGGCAATATCATTTCCTCTCTAACTAGGAATGCTTTAGTCTGTCACTTCCAAAAGAATGGTTAAACTCAACTGTTAACATTATAAAATCTGACATCCATCCTTCTTAAATCATGTTATCAGTGTAATATATTCAGTGTAGCATGATCAGTATGTACTATGGCTGTGTGCCTTTTCTTTAAGGGTCTTTTAAATAAGGACAGGAAAATTTTATTTGCTTCTCACTTTAATGCAAAGATATCCAGTGTGTACTTCCCAATCTGATACATGGACAAGGAAGCAAATATACCTTGATATGTCTCTATGTTTTGAACTTTGTGGTGCAGTATGCCATTCAAAAACTGTATATGCTGATCGATGCATCACATTTATTTTGTATTGAAATCCCAGTAATTCAGTAGAATCAGCCTACAGGTATTAATGAATGGTACCAAGCTGCAGAATTAGTTATTCCTGGCATTTTATCTCCTACAATTTATCTTGGAAATTTTTTCTCATTCTTTTTCCTTACATTCAGAATTAGATGAATAAGATTATATATTTATATTTTTCATATATCTATATCAACATAAAACTGTAAGATATAATATAATGAAATTATATCATTTTCAGATATTTGAAATGTCATAATATTAAGGCGTTACTAGACAACCTGTGATTTGCAGGATCATTGTTTCATAGATGTTTCCTTATCTAGACAGAAACAGAATTACCAGTGGGAATGGGCGCAAATTCCAAGTTCCTGCTAGCTTCACCATAGCTGATTGTTCTCCAGCAACCAATGTCTACCTAGCCTTTGGAGTGCTAAGGTGGAAAATGGTCTACTGAACCTCTGAGTGGCAGTGCAACAACAGCATTGAAATGATCACCAATTTGCCAAATGTAATCTCTCGAGAGTCATGAGTCTAGATGTTGGAGACATTATGTTAAGTTAGCCCTAGTTCAAAAAGTATTGCAGCCAGTTAAAGGTTACAGACACAAGAGCTTTAGTATTGTATAGACTGACCATTTTGAATGCATCATTCTTATTGCCCCAAATCAGAAAATTCCATTGACTTATTTTTTAAAAATATACAACTTATTAAATACATTCTCTTACTTTTATTACTATAGCTTTTATCTGATTTTAAAAATATGATGAATTTAGCACAATGCATAAATATAGCTAATTCATTTCTCACTGAATGATTTGCAGCTGTAGTTGGTATATTTTAGTATTAAATACATAGATTAATTTCCTTTTCTCCAGAGAATGAAACATAGGATAGAGTCTGTGTATTATGCTTAATTGTGAGCAGAGATGCATTATACTTTTTTATGGTGAGTTTGGTTAGGATTGCTTCTTTAAAATAGCATTAAGCATACCCTTTAAGCAAAGAATTGGCTTCTGTTGTCTAAAATGTATTTTGGTTGTGGAATTAACATTTTTTCACAAGGCAATTTACAAAACAAAGACAAGTAGCAATTTAATTACTAGAGAAGTTCTGGTGTTTCCTTTATTGATGTTTGGTCTTTTTATGTTTTTAAACATTCTCTATGCAAAAAGATACAAAAGAAAAATATAGAATAATTAAACAAATCACAAAACTACATTTACCAGATGTACTTAAAAACCCCAATCCTTACATAAATGACAATAATGTGGGCCAATTTCTCAATAGTCCTCAAATCAAGATTTCCAGAAGTAAAAGTCTTTAACTTGAATACAGAAAACAGACTGGATTTATAAGATTCTTGTAAGTCTTACAAAGACTGAATATCAATCAAACCTTTTATATTTTGGGGTGGACTGTAAAAGCAAATACCTTCCAATTTCATTAACTTTCTGTTTCTTACCAGCTATTAATATACATTATAGTTCAAAATATTGCATCTAAAAAAAATCAGTGACAAAATTAATATGTGAAATAACATTTTACCCAAAAGGTTGTCACGTTAAAATCAAGAACTTCTACAGTTGCATTTTGAGCACTAGAGTTCTAAAATTTAGGTGAAGTATAGATTTTAACTCTGTGAAAATTTGATATGACTGCTTAAAAGGTTTCCATAGACATTAGGCATTAGATATTCTTTATTTCATGTCTCTCTGTACTCTCCAACATTTAATTTGGTGTATTTAACAACAATTGTTACTATTTATTTAATATTAATTTATAACAGATGTATTCAATTCTATATTACCAGTACTAGAGGGAATTCTGACGCATTTAGAGCTATCAGTTGATATCTATATGTTTATATGATATTTTATCAGAAGATATTGCCGCTCTGAACTTTCTAGCAAATAATAGGATGATTTGCACTAAAGCTCCAAAGCTCAAACAGAGGAAGTTTCTGAGAGGTGCCTGCTTATACTTTTGTAAAGAAGCTATGTCTTCCCATAGCTAATGTTGTAGCCATTCCAGCAGCTACAATGCCAGGAAAATTCATATTGAAGTTAAGAAGATTCTGCTCTCTCTTCTTACATTGCAACTTTTCAGATAACAAAAATGGCCATCTAATTCTTTTATTTGATTTATGATATGTACATAAACTCTATATTTGACTCCAAAATCCTTCAGAATAATAACTGTATTGTTCTTTTCAAGTTGGAATTCTTCCTTCATGTCAATTTTGTTTTGTGTTTCATGATAACATTAGAAAAATAGGTTGCTGGTTACCCCTTACCCTGGATACATACACACTTTGAGACTCTCAAACCTTAGTGTCTAATGGAAGAAATTAAGGCTCCCAGGAGTTGTTTAAATTATAAAGCAATTTGCATTAGTTTTACATAGAGTGTACTGTTTGACTTTTGTGTTTTTAAATTATATGAAACTCAACTGGAATCAGTAAGGCTACATCAGTATTACTGTAAACCTACATCAGTATTACTGAAAAGGTGGCTGCATTTTAAATTTACACAGAGTTAAAAGGCCATTTAATTCAGTTCCCATTCCTGAAAAGTGTCATCCAGCTCCTGTTTGAATTAGATCCACAGATAAAAAGTACCGTTACACCTGTGACTACCCAGCTCTGTTGTGAACTACTTGTGTTATTAGGACATTTAAATCTGTCCTCTTATAAGTTAAATGGATTTGATTGATTGGCAGAGAAGACTTCATTTTTCTTTGGGGAGAAAACTGCTTTCATGCCTTGTTTTAATCTTCTATTGTGCAGTTCCCTCCCATTGTCTGTAGAACTTATTTTATGACTACTGTCAGTTTTTATTCTTCTTCTGTGAACTCATTCACTATGTCTATAGTCTTCTCCAATCTGTGCTGGGCTATGATATCCATCATCTCCAAGGGATCATGGACAAATGTTGGTCTATATGTTTCTTAAAGTCTCTTACTCAAATATAAAATTATGTCTGTGTTATACCTTGAATGTACTTTTATGAGATTTATTATGATAATGGGTTTCAAAATGGAGCTCCAAATGTAGTTAAAATATGAGACTATTTAAAAGCACTTTCATTCTAAAGATTCATTCATCTCATTACACTTGTAAAAGTCCAGGCTTCTTCGAGGTTTAGTTCAACGTATATGCGGATCAACAGATTGACCATCTGACATCTTTTAAACTTAATTTAAATGTTAAAATTCTTATAAAATGAAGACAAACTTCATGGACAATAAAAACTTTAAAATATTTTAAATAATGTATCAATTTTGCTAGCAAACAATATTTTGAAAATCTAGAAAAACTATATCCTTGGATTGCTCTGTTTCTGTTTTTCCATCTGTATATGTCAGTGTTCGTTTAACAAACTTTTTTATGAAGAAAGAAATATTTGCATCCCAGGACACATTCTTTCTTCTCTGTCCAAAGATTCTGACTTTATGGTATTACTGGATTTATAGGAAGAAGGGCCCTTTGGCAAGTGGCCATATCAAATTCCATATGATTACTCTTTCCAGATTATTCAACCAAATCTGGAAAGGATAATATGCATTGTAAAAATATATTCTGATTAAATTGCTAGAACAGTAGGCAATCACAGCCCACATTCTGTATACTGACTTACTTTACGTGGCATCCAAGTTTCCAAACCATAGTTCTATTAACATGAACTCCAAGGAGTTTATTTTAAAACAGCATATTATCTACACAATTGCTTAGTAAAGTTTTCACTATTCAATGTACTTAAAAGTGAACATTTAAAAATGTCATGGGTGCCTTGAAAGGTAAAATATGATTATGAAAATAATTCCAGAATTATTTACCTTGCCTAAAACTTATTTCATTAATGATAATTTATTATTAAGACAGAATTTTGTCTTCAATATATATAAACCATCTTGGTCTATTAAAATTGATGCTTTGGAATAATTCTTTGGAAGCCAAATTGAATAATCTGTCCTATGATCAAGCATTGCTTTTGCTATTGTTGAAGGCTGTTTAAAACATAGACAATTGTTATATGTGTGTTGCATAATTACTTTTCATAATTAACCTTTCCTTCCAAAATGGTGTAATACTATGTTAGGCCAGTAATACTGTATAAATAGTAAGTTCATTTACTGGTAGAACTTATTTGATTATAAATGTGGGCTATAAATAAAAAAATTAAATAAACAATCAAACAAATGACATAAATTATTCCTTAATATTTTGACAGACTGATAGAAAATACCATAGTGGTGTTATCAGTGAATTTCCAGCACATATTGGTGTTTGGAAGTCTTATTACAATTCTTGTTTAACAGAACCACTATTCTTTCTTTTCTTGTAGGTGCAGGCATAAAAAAAATCACAAATAAGATGTTTGAGAAATCCCAAATTTGTGCTGGGAAACTGTGTAATTCTCATTGCGGTGAAATAAACTCAGATTAAATCATAACAAATCAGAGCTGGTCTTTGGATTCTGTAATTTCTACAGTAACAGTCACTATCCTGCTAAAAGAAAGTGGCTTGTGAGTTTCAGATCACCTGGTCTCTTGGTTCCTGCCAGCAACAGAAGGAAGCAACGGTAGGGTTAGAGTTCATCCAGATTTAATTGGTGTGCTATTTGGACCAGAATTTCTTAGCAATGGAATTTCACACCTTCATCACTACAAGATTGAATTACTGTAGGATGTGTTGGGCTGAGTTGGAAATGAGCTCAAAGCTGCAGATCGTGTAGAATGTGGCAGCCAGTTTAACTAGAGTATCTGACCAGGGTAGACTAATACTAATCCTTGAGACATTGCATTGTTATTACTGTGCCTCCAGGCCTCTGAAAAGTCTTGGGTATTGCCTTTAAAGCCCTGTGAAGCACAGTACTGAGAAATATCAGGCAGTATCTTGTCAAGAAAAAAATTATCCATCCAGTCCAGAGATCTAGATCTGTCATATGCACCTTGCTTTGTGGAGTTCAAAGGGCACAGAACCACGAACAAATCTCCTTTGTCATGTCCTTCAGCAATCGGAATACTCTCAACCAGATTCTGGCAGTCCAATCCTGTTTGTTTATAATAAGAAAGATAGAAATAATTTTGCTTGAACTTTCTTTCAAGCCTTAATAGTTCTTAGGAGCCTTGGGCATGTGTTCTTATTTTGGGAAGGGTGGATGGTAAAGACTGCCCATCTCCCTCACAGAGTCCACACCCATCTGGGCTGAAGTAGACCATATATATTGAAAGTAAATGAACAATAGTGAAGAAAACAGATTTATTCTCTTAGCCCTGAGGATGATTTGTGAATATTGCATATTTTTGTTATAAGATTGTCAACCATGGATTTGAGTTCTTGCAAAACTTTTAAGTGAACTGGTATCCATCCAGTGATTAGTCCTTTGTGATTTGTCAGTAAAGACTCATAGTCCATCTCTTGTAATCTCAAGTTGTCACAGTTCTCTCTCCTCTCTTCCTTAAAAAAAATACCTGTCTTACATAATTCACTAACTTTACCTTTCTGGTTTTAGTTTTTGTTTCAAATTTTAGAAGTACAACTCCCTTTTGCTTCTAAAAAACTTTCTTGGCATAATAATAAATTTGTCTACAGCAAAAGAATAATGTGCTAGCAGTAGATGTCACTGAAGTCAATAGTATTAAGCCCAGCATTTCTTTCTGTTGTCCTGGTTCTACTAGAGTTTTGCTGATAGTTAGCTATCAGAGAATGCACTGACTTCCAACTGAACACGTTCAGGCAAGGATACAGGAATTCACCCAACAGCAGATATAGTGATTTATTTGGCTGTGCTTTGGGGGATTTTCCTCTGTCTTATTTAAAAGTGACAACTGTTAAAAATGAATGAGTATGTCTTTCTTTCTCACCAAAATTTTTCCTTAACATTGAAGTGCAATAAACATGATTACAACTTGCAACCTAGCAATGGGTCATTTATTTTGTTTTTACTTCTATGACAGGCTACAATTTGAAGCTATTATTTTTAAAGATTATTTGCTTTCACAAAGAGATGGTAACTGTTTGGAAAACTGATAAAAAATTAGATTCTGACAGTTCTGCACCACAGGAAAGAAATTAGCAAGTTTTCTTGTATAATGAGTAGTAATTACTGCAATGACATTTTCATATTGCATGAAATGCGTTTATTTTTCTTGCTTTTTTGAGTACTATAAACTGATTTTGTTTACCTTTATGGATCTCATTATATTTTTCAGCTTTATATTATATTATTATATTATATTTATATTATGTTATTATATTCATAATATATTATAATATATTTTTCATCTTCCTTATATTAATCAAAGACTTTTGAATAGATAAAACCTTGCTCGCTTGTATGCTATTGCTTGTTTTCTATACAGCCAGCTGAAATAAAAGTTGAGAAAATGAAATATAAGTTGTAACACATTGTTGGTCATTCACATTTTCAATATTTAGAGACAAAACACTTTCTTTATTTTACATGATAATATAATGAAGAGGATTGTGGATGATGTGTTCATGGGGGGGTATGAGAGAGGTAGATGAGTAAAGTTTTTTTGGTAATGTTAGTGCTGGATTTCATTTAATATTTTCCCTCATATCTCACTGTAGGAAAGAAGGCTGGCTATTCACCTTTCTTTCTTTCTTTCTTTCTTTCTTTCTTTCTTTCTTTCTTTCTTTCTTTCTTTCTTTCATTCGTTTGTTCATTCATTTGTTCGTTATAGGCTACAGTGGTGGCTTTAGGTTTCATTCATGTCTTCTCCAGTTAAGTAGATCAGTTAAATGCAAGTTAATTCCACTTAAGTAACTCAGTTAGCAAGTTTGAAAAAGTGTATATTTCATATCTTGGAGAGCCAGTCTAGGTTTGTTTGAATACAATTACTGTATGTTCATTACAAAGTCATTGCAAACAATGTCAGTTTGTTGTGCTTATCCTGATCTGCATCCTTCTATGAAGATGAATGGATGAAGAATGCCTGAGTTTTGAATAACTGAAACATTCATCAATTCCACAGAGAGATTTTTCTTTTACTACTTTCTTCCTATCTGGTACTCATTTTTTCCTGCAATCTCCTCTCTTCCCTTTCCTTCCCTTCCCTTCCCTTTTTCCCAAGAACTACCTTGATCAAAAACTGGTCTGTTCCACATTCCAATCCATTTCCCACATGAATTTATCTGTTGTAGCTCAGTGTCATACTACTACATTATTCCTCTTTCTCTTAGTTTTACAGACACACAATCTACTATTTTCTTTTCTTGTATTCATTAATTCATACTTTTTGTCATTTATTCCTCTTCTTTTCCAAGTCATAATATTTCAAACGCCATACTCTTCACCAAATAATGTCATG